GTGGGGGCTTGGTTGTGGCTGCATGCCCCCCCTCTCCTCGGAGCCCCAGCCGGGCCAAGGAAATCGGACTTCGGCTGTTGTAACCCCCGGGAACGTGACAACTGCTGAGTGTATTTGTTTCTCTCTGATCTCCAGTTATTTTTCTGCAGGGGCTTTGCCTACTGCAGACAATTTGACTTACATCAGGGGTCTCAAACATGCGGCCCAGGGGCCATTTGCGGCCCAGCAGACAATAGTTTGTGGCCCCCGCCTTGCCTGCCCCCCCTGAAGCGCCCACGCGTCCTCTGCTGTCAAGAGTTAAAAAAAGGCCCACCTGTCTGCCGGCTGGCATGCTGCAGTTGCATATGGAGGGTGCAAGAGGCGCTGTCTTGGGGGAGAGCCAGCGAGCGAGACGTGCTGCTGGCCCTTTTCCCCGAGCGCCTGAGCTGCCACCGAGCTCCCAGCCCATTCTCAAAGAGCACCTCCAAGCCGCCAACAGCCGCTGTCGCCGCCTCTTCCAGGGAAGTGGCTCTCTGGCTCTCTTTCTCTCTTGGCACCCCCAGCACCAGCCCGGCCAGCGGCCGCCTCAGCACCCAGCAGTGCTTCCTCCTCCTCCTCGTCCTGCTTCAGCCGCCTCAGCTCTGGAGGCTGCCTGGGCTTGCCTCGCAAAGTTTGCTCCTCTGTCGTGGTGGGGGTAGCTGCTGCTGCTGAGTGGGCCTTTTGGGGGGGCCCTCAGAGGAAGGTTGCCGGACCTCCATGTGTGTGTGCCTGCATGCGTGCACCTGTGGTGGGGATGCCCCGTTCTGTTTAATTTCGCAGGTACCGGTGGGGGCTTGGTTGTGGCTGCATGCCCCCCCTCTCCTCGGAGCCCCAGCCGGGCCAAGGAAATTCCTGGGTGGCTTCCTCGGGCTCTTGCTCCACTTGGCGGAAAATCTGATGCGCCCCAGCCTCACTCAGACTCTGCCTCCAGCGGCCCCCTGGTAAATTGAGTTTGAGACCCCGACTTACATCTAGCGTGTATCATTTGCCATTGGATATATTGATTGGGCCACCTGAAGTTGAAGTCCAAACCATCTGGGGCAACAGACATTTCCCATCCCTGTCCTATGTGATCTCATGCACAAGCATTTTCGGAAGCACGAGAAAAGAGGCCTGCAGGAGGCATATATGCATAAAGCAGCATTTATTTCCTCACCCTTTAAAAATAGATGAAATTAATTTGGCCATTGAGGATTGTTTCATTTTCTGTTTCTAAAAAGTTTTAAAGTAGGTGAACATTGTTGAGTTACTAAGCAGAACAAACATATGTGAGCTGCTTCTTATCCTCATTCAGACTTCTGACTTTACTATGTTTGCCCAATGATGTCAGACACTAAAGAGAAATCAAATAGTTTTTTTAATGAAGAGTTAGTTTTATGAGAAGTCAAGATCATAAGAACAAAACAAAGAGATGTTGTTGCTTTATAATGAATACATTGGAATAGAAGCCAAGGAATTTTAGAGAACAAAGCCAAATTGTCTAATGGTGTTTTATGTCTAGACTTCTACATGTAACTATTTACTAGCAGGTCCTTGGGGATTAAAAGTAGGGTTTAGCTCTATGCAAGATTAAGTCAACATTTACATAATTTTGTATAGATGATATGGTTCTAAGGTAATTTAAGATTGAACTCCTATTGTAGTTCTAATTTTAAATGTGAAATAGCTGAAGAATGTACATAAAAATCTTATGTTCAGAAATCTGTTTCTTTGTAATTTAAAAAACAACAACCAAGCCAGAAGTTAAAGGTTGGTTTAAATGATCATGACTTCATTTATTTAGATTACACATTTCTTTTCTTAATTAACCTGAAGCAATTTATCTAAAGAAATAAAAGTTTCAGACAAAACGCCCCAGCTAGAACAATAATAATTTATAATGCAGTTAGACTAAAAGTAAAATTAAACCAATTAGTATTCTGTTAAGAACCAATTCATTATAATGGTGCACCAAAATCATGGTGTGCTAAAGTCCATTTGGATGAAGTGGATAGATTCAGAAATAATATTAGTATGAACATGCCTGCATAAATTCCAAACCTGCCTGTTTCCAAACCCTTTCAGTTCTTCACAGCATTGTTTGTAGGAGAGACAAAACTGGAAACTCTCCAGTTCCACTTAAGAACACAGTTGTACATGATGTCCAGTGTTAGTGTTGGACAGAAGTGTTCCCTCTTCTAGGTACGGCTATTAAAACCAATGTAGAACATCTAATCCTACTTAGTTTTAACACCAGTTCCCCAAGAGTGCACATCACAGAGAACTTTAGTTAGTACTGAAGCAGAAACCTTCAGTCCTGTGATTCATGCAGACTTATTTATATAATGTTAAGCCATGTTTTAGTTAACTTTCTAAATAGTAGTAAATTTTAGCAATCACAGGTTTTAATAGGAAGAAACTTTGAACAGGTCTGATTCCTGCCATAGATGACATCATGGTATAAATGATACTATGCTGAAGTGGGGCCTTCTAGCCATGCCCCAGTTAACATTGGCCTCTCATCAAGCACAGCGGGATGCCCGTTTCATGTAGCAGTGGTACTCCTTCACCTGCCTTGGATGGGCTACCCTCTACTCTCCTTACATGGAACTATGTGCAGGAGTCTTAACTGGTACAAAGAACTGCCTTGAAATGATGGTCTTTAATGCAGTTGTGATATACAGTGGTGCCTCACTTAACGAGTGCCTCGCTCAACGATGAATTCACGTAACGATGGCCTTTGCTGGAAATTTTGCCGCCTCACTTAACGATGTTTCCTATGGGGGATTTTTGCATAAAGATGTTTGGCACCTTGCTTCACTTAACGATGACAGTTTTAGGTCCCCTGTTTCACTTAACGTTTTTTTTGACAGCCCTGTTTTCGCTACAGTATTTCCTCTGAAGCTCACAGTGTTGTCTCTTCAGATCACCCAGTGTGTGTGAATCAACATGATGTAGACAGTGATTACAGTTCTAAATAGGGAGCGGGGCACTTTGAGTTTCAAACCAAAGGCCTTTTGGGAAGTTCATATCATTCCAGTTTTCTGGAGGCATTGCTTTGGGTAAAAGCAGAAGTACCCAATGCTTCCATCAGCTACTTTCGGGAAATACGTAGAAATAATAATAGCAGACCATGGAACACCCTCATCTTGGAGACTTGATTAGCACCAACACTGACATCATTTCAGTGCCAAATCAAAACATATTTATTAGAACGGTTGGAGTGAAAGATTATGCCTGCCAGGTTTTAATACATTGGTTTTAATGGTTTAATTGTGTGTTTTAAATGTACGTAATTTTTCACTATTTTAAACATCTTAGGTTTTTTAATTGTTTTATACAGCTCTGTAATCTGCCCTGTGATCCCTTCATATAGGGAAGGCTATAAATGTTTTAAGCAAGTAAGCAGACAGAGTGACAGACAAGCATACAGACAAACAGCACGGTTGACATGTTTGGCAGTGACCTGCATTTAAGTCAGAAAGTTTGACTGTTCCTATGTTTTGTATCTAATCTGTGTCATACCAGACTTTGCAACCTATACAAGTACTGTAACTCCATCTACATTTTAAGAATACTAAACTCAGAACAGAATTTGGCAACGTTAATCTTGGACACTGCCCCTAGCAGTTATGAACTGGACAGTGGGTATCATATTCAGTGGAGCTTGATTGAAACTTATTTCAAAACAGCAACTTGTTGGGACAAGTGTGTATTTTAATAGAGAGGGAATTCAGACAGCACTCTTTCTTGTATTGTGTAGGTCTTTCCCTAACCACTGTATTTCCTACTGTATCTTTTGTCACTTCACTTCCACACTGATCAGCACTCCTTTTCTTGCTTCCCTTTGAAAAGCATGTGGAAAATCCATCCATAATTGAATGAAGGGGGCATGCCCATCACTGCCTTGATTGGCCACCCGCCCATGACTATCTGTTTCAGAAATGGCTGAAAAATAACCTGTGCTCTTTTCTAACTAAGTATCTTACTGTTTTTTATTGCATGGGGAGCTATCATGTCCTTACAGAATTGCACAGGTGTTGTGCCAAGATAAATTATGTGTTAAAAAGATGAAACAACTGGTATGTCCTATCTCTGTACAATAGCAGGACCATGAGTCTGCCTAGCTTTTATTGTCCGAGAAAGAGAGATTACTGCCAGTATACAGAGAAGGGATCAGCTTCCAGATTTGCAATCTAAATAAACACAGTTGAAACCACTCTCATTTCCTAAATATGATGTAATGCTTCTCCTCTACAAAACAACAACCTGACATTACAGAGGTTTTGATAATATGACTAAAGTTGATTGTTATGAACAACCTGGAGCAGCTGCTGCTTTCTTTGCCCTCTCTTTCGTACAAAGCCTGGCTTAGTGCACTGATCCCTGTGTCATTGTGCCTTTACTTCATGTCATGATTTTGATTTTGACAGCAGAGAAAGCACCAGTAGGGCAGTGTTGCTGTTTATTGTGTTAATCTGATTGTATAGATGAGTGAGGAAAGCGGCAGATGAATATTAACTCCATTTTCTCTGAGGTAAGATACTGGGAGAGTTTGAACTGACAGATCCTAGTTAAATACGTTGTGCTATGAATGAGTTTTTGCTCCCCCGTGAGCCTATAACTTGAACTCCTCAGTTAACCAATGTTTCCTGGTTTTTCTTTCTGGGAAACTTTTGAATCTGCCAGAGTAATTTGAATGCACATCAAACCATGGTTTATTCCGAAACAGTTAAATACAATGTCATGGTCCAGGAGCAGGAGGAAAGTGCAGTTAATTAGAAGCATCCTGGTATAATTGCTTATACATTGATGGGAGGAATGAATAGCCTGCATGCACAACTTAATCAATTGAAATCCTGTATTATAATTCAAAATCAGATAAATGCAAGGGATCTACCCTCCTGCTAGTTATGCCAATCAGTTGGAAAGAAACACAGCCACTGTATCTCAAATGCAAAACATAATTAAACTATTATTTTCCTTTCTGTTTCCTTTTGCAGTATGGGGTATTGCATTCTCTTGGTCCATGGCTTAAATAAGCTCTGCACATGGCTGAATAAATGGAGAGCCACAGCCATAACAATCTCAGCTTTCCTGCTGCTGTTACTCTCTTGGAAAACTGTGAAACAGAATGAAATCTGGTTGTCAAGAGAATCCTTGTTCAGGTAGGATTGATTGCAGGATTGAGGTGGAGGTGTGTTTGTTTTGTTTTGTGCAATTGCCCCAAACCTTAGCTGTTCTGCGCATGTATAATTTTCATGTCTTAGAAATATAGGCTTACAGAATATGATTATTGTTCAAAGGAATTGATTTCTAATTTTATGACAAGTGCTAGAATATTAATAGCTAGATTCTGGAAAGACAAAATGATACTAAATTAGAAGATTGGTATAATGGAGTATGTGACATTGCACTAAATGAAAAATTAACTACTGAACTTAAGATGAAAAGAGGGGAAATAAGTTCAAATATTTTTATGCTATTTGGGGTAGATTTGTTGAATTTGTATTAGTGAAAGGAAAGGGGAAGGCCTCTAAACAACAATTAATACAGTTTTGGAAAGGAACAGCATTAAAAGTATTGTTCTAATCTAAGGGGTCCCATGGGTATATGGTGCACGGTAGTTTAGATTATATAGCAAGTATTTTGTTTTTTTGTATTTGTTTGTTTTTTGTTCTGAAAAAATATAATTAAAAAAAAAGAAAATTAGGCTTAAATATTGTGTGCAGCTCTGTGCCCGCAATAGGCATGCTGTCATCATCATCAGCAAATTGCCCAATTAAAGGCTCCCTTTGGCAATTTCAGGGTACATGTGACTTAATTGCATTCTGTACAAGTCACATGCATCCTGTACTTTTAGAAAGAAACCTTTAATCAGTGCCTATTTGCCGTTGATGGCATCATTTCCATTGTTTTCATGCAGCTGTGCAAGAGGATTTCAGCCTTATGTGTTTTGGCCTATAAGCTGTATAGTATGACCAAAGTCCAGTTTCTAGTCCCAAGAAGAGTCGTCGTCGTTTAGTCGTGTCCGACTCTTCATGACCCCATGGACCAGAGCACACCAGGCCCTCCTGTCGTCCACTGCCTCCCGGAGTTGTGTCAAATTCATTCTGGCAGCTTCGATGACATTGTCCAACTATCTCATCCTCTGTTGTCCCCCAAGAAGAGTAGAGCCATTTAATTAGTGAATATATATAGCTATTGACCTACCATTTAGTGACTGGTTAAATTGCACTACTATAGTCTTGTTAGATATTGGATTTACGTATTTTGACCACAGAATGTTGTAGTATATACTTAAAAGTATTGGACATGAGAGGTTGAGATTCTATTTTCTGTTGGATCAATGCATTTATGAATTAATGCCTGAGTTTAGAACTTGGAGACACAGATTCTAATACCCATTCATCCATACAACTCATTTGTTAACAATTAATTCTCCTCTTAGCCTGATCTGCTTTTCAAGGTTGTCCTGGCTTTAGGATAGTAAGCAGGAAAGCCCTAGCTTACTAACCTAACCTACTAGCTAAAAAGGAAACTGATAAGTAATTAGTGAATAAAAAGAAATAGGTGACAGTGAGAGATAGCAAGATAATGCATCACCAAATGGTAATATCTGTCTGTAAGAGGCAACCAAACCTTTGAAATACTGTTCTCTAGAATTTCTCTGTCTAAAAATAGTTTCTTTCTAATTAGTAAGTTTGCCAGTTGAGCCAAATTTACAGAACACCATGAATAATTTCCCCTGGCATCATCTAAATTAGAGTATTTCTGTTGCTTTTAGTGTGGAGCATACTGTGGTGTCTTGTTTTTTGCATAGCAAACAGAATTATGTAATAGATTTGAAACATACTGTTGAAAGATCAGTGGAAGGCAATTTAACAAGAGGTTGGTCAGCAAACAGTTTGTCATGGTGGAAAACTTGTTACTGGTGGTGGTGATTCCGAGGACGAGGAAAAATAAAAGTAAAAGAGCTGTCTTCAGTATATTTCTTTTAGCGTCAGTCCACTTTTAATTGGCTGACTTGTCATAATTTGTTTCATTTCCTGGGAATCTCAATTTGTAGGTGTTACTAGCTATCCAGGTTTTTTTGCCTTCTAAAAGATATAAAGCAGACATACATTTGAAACTTAAGAAAAAATCCACAATCAACTTTAAGATAATACCTTTATTAGGCTAACCAAAAGTTGTCAAAAAGAGATGCAAACATTATAGCTCTCCATATCTCTTCATTAGGCAAAAAAGCAAATCAGCATTGAGTGAGGGGGAAATCAATGACATGATTTTGAATCCATGTTATCTATATGGTGTCTGGAGATTGTTGTGGAAGAGAAGAGTCTGCAAGCATTCAAATGCAGCTTAGTAAGATGATACTGTAGTATGATTTTGGGTTTTACCTGGAGCGCTACCTATGGATGTTAGAAGCAAAGAATATGTGGGGCGGGAGAATAAATCTTTTAAAAAACAAAAACAAACCAAATCAACCAGCTATAAAATAAAAATAGATTACTTTATTTGATGGGAAACAGAGAGTCAGTAGACATCTTTTGTGTTAACAGAACTGGAAATAATTATAGAAAAGAGATTAGGGTGTTTTAAAAGAAAACAGACACCAAAATGTCTCCTAATGACTGGCACAATGAACCTCAAGAGCATAAAGCTCCAGTTTCAGAAGGTGTAAAATCCTCTTCCCATAGTGTAGCATTCCACTGCTGAACAATTAAATTAGATCTTCTCCATGACATACAAAAAGCAGAATCTATTTAGCCTTGTGAGCATCATTTGCATTAGTGTATACCATTATACTGCATTGCAGTCTGGTCTGTGAGAAAAACCACACCAATCAATTAGGAAGGAAATCACATAGAGACATTGTTCTGAAACATAGCATATCTGTCTTTATTTATTTTTCTTTGCTTTCTCTCCCTCAATCATTTCAGTTGCTATGCCTTTTCTGGAGGAACAATATTATAGTTTAAGAATTCATGCTGGGCAAATGTGCCAGGAAAATATGAACTGAAAGCCCAGAGGAAATAGAAATGGGGAAACGTTTTGTATTCCCTTGTTATTTGTTCTGTGCCTTTCTCCACTTGGCTGGTGTATGATTCTTTATTATTTCCTTTTCTAATTAGAAAATGATTTCCTGAGTAGATCAGGCCCCATGTTTTAAAATTGTCACTTGTCTTGAATTTCTCTGCACAAGCATTTCAGAATCAATTTTTGTGTGAAGATTTAAATACAGTGGTGCCTTGCTTGACTACAATAATCTGTTCCATTCAAATCACTGTTAAACGAAATCGTCATCAAGCGAAATTAAAAAACCCATTGAAATGAATTAAAAACTGTCCCAATGGGCGAAATACCTCATTGTGCAGTGAAGATCCTCCATAAGGTAGCCATTTTCCGGTGCCTGTTAAGCGAGGAATCTGTCCTAAACACAGCGGGCGGCCATTTTGAGAGCTGCTGATCAGCTGTTTGAAAACCATCATAATGCGAAGAATCAGTTCCCGAAGCAGGGAACCGATCGCCATCATGCGAATTTTCCCCATTGAACCATTGTTTTGCAATCGCAATAGCGATCACAAAAAAACCATCATAAAGTGGATTCATCGTTTAATGAGATAATCGTTAACCGAGGCACCACTGTATAAGGGAAATCTCCTAAGGATCAGAATGTGGTGTTGTGCTTGAGGGATTCCCTTTTAGAATTTGTAGGGAGAGTTTCTCCTGCAGATCATCATCATCATCATCTTAGAATTGCAGAACTGAAAGGGACCCTATAGATCATCAAATCCAGTCCCTTTTAAAGAGACACCGTGGGGAATCAAACTCCCAACCTCTGGCTCTGCAGCCAGAGACTTAAACCACTGAGCTATTTTAAATTTACAAACTGCTCATGTGATCACTTCCAAAACTGAACACTAATGTTGAATTATAGGAGGAATCTTAGAATACAGGATAGCTGTATATTTGCATATTATCTTTGTCATAGTGAACAGGTATCTCAAAAGGAGATGTTTAGCCAGAACTGGCAGTACTTTCTTTACTTTCCCTTTAAAGATGGGACAAGTAAATTTATAGAATACAACTTCCCAGATACCCCAGTGAGCATGGTCACTGGGTATTTAGAGAGTTGTTTTCCAAAGAATAACTTTTTCTGCTAGCTCTGCTCGCTTTTGGGATAAGTAACATCTAAACCTTTTTAAAATATTTTGTAAAATTGAAAAGCCACTGTTCTTTAAAGAGCTTGAGAACGTAAGAACCGTGTTCACACAATGACTGACCAGTTGCTAAGAAGAAACAGGACATATGCAATAGCACTTCTTATCTGTGTCGCCCAAAGGCTGGTAGTTTGTACTCTCCTAAGCGTTGGTTCCTCTCCATCCTTGCTCCGACTCTGCAGTTCATTCAGACAATCATGCCCAACTGACTGATGACCCATTGTGCTCCTGTATCTGAGAACATATGCTCTGTCCACTTATTCTCCCCCCCCATGGAAAAAAACTGGTGCCTGTCAAAGCTGGGACTTTTTGCAATCTCAGATTGCAAAAGATTGGCCATGTTGTTAGAAAGACAAGAAAGCTGTGACAGGCAATCAATGCTGGAGAGAAGAATCAAGGTAGGGGAAGGCAGATCTGTATGTGTGGAGTAGTCTGCCGTGTCCCTTAAACAACAGAAGGAGCTGCCTTATTTATACTGAGTCAAACTGTTGGTCCATCTAGCCAGTAAACTCTGGCTGGTAGCAGATCTCCAGATATAAAAGCAGAAAACTTTCTTAGCCCCATCTGGAAATCCCTGGTACTCCTTTTGGTCTCCCATCCAAGAAGCAACCAGCCACAACCCTGCTTAGTTTTCACAATCTGATGAGTGCTGAATTCAGGGAGTCATGATGGTATTATGCTTGTCTGTTCTCAGGTGCAGCAGAGGCTGCTATCCCATAACTATTGTGGATTTAAAATTCAAATGTGCATCTCATTGGCATGGAATGAACAGTGTGCCATCTTATCCTTTGCACCAGACAGTAAAATGTGTTTTTTTCAGACCTACAATGTGTATGCTGGGCATTTCCGCATCTAGGTGACACAGTCCTTCTTCCTCCCTTTATTTTGCTCTGAGTACCGTACATGCTTATAGAAGAATATCTGCAGTGTGACCATAATATGTGGTTACTTATTCCAAGTGTGGAATTCTTTGCAGGACTGGGGACACTGCAATTCAAAAATATAATTTGATATACAGTGGTGCCTCGCTTGATGATGTTAATTCGTTCCAGCGAAACCGCTGTAGAGCGAAAACGTCGTCGAACAAAATTAGAAAAACCATTGAAACACATTGAAAACTGTTCAATGCGTTCCAGTGGGCTGAATACCTGCTCGTCCAGCGAAGATCATCCATAGGGTGGCCATTTTCTGGTGTCTGTAGTGCGAAAAATCAGTCCTAAAAACAGCGGGGGGGGGCATTTTCTTCAGTCGGTGGCCATTTTGAAACCTGACGATCAGCTGTTTGCTGATAGTCATAAAGCGAAAATCGGTTCCCGAAGCAGGGAACCGATCATCGCACAGTGAAAAAAACCCATTTAAACCATCGTTTTGCGATCGCAAAAGCAATCGCAAAAACATCAATGTTAAGTGAATTCATCGTTAAACGGGGTAATCGTCCAGCGGGACATGACTGTACTGTCCCCCACCCTACCCCAGTTTTCTAGAAGGCTTCATTCTTAGTTTGATACTCTCTGGGGCATATTAACAAGAGACAAATACTTCATAGTAAGAAGCAAAACAATTTATGTTTTAATGTATTCCCGAAGGCTTTCACAGCAGGGATCTGAAATTTATGTTTTCTTTATGTTTTCTCGTTGGTAGGTCAGGGGTTCAGACTCTGCCCCACAATGCCAAGGTCCACTACAACTATGCCAATTTTCTGAAAGACCAAGGCCGTGACAGTGAAGCCATCTACCACTACAAAACAGCACTTGAGTAAGTTATCCATTATCACTGTCCTCCTTATTAGATCTTGAAAATGCTACTTTTAAAAAAATAAAACTCCCAGAATTTTCGAGCCAGCATGGACTGTAACTCCCATAATCCTCTGTCCTAGCCATGCTGGCTGGGGGATTCTGGACACTGTAGTCTATAGTGGCTAGAGAATTCTGAGTGTTGTAGTACAAAAAGGTAAGATCGCCAAACTCTGGCCCTTGTTTTGGTTTTCCATGGTAAATGGGAACAGGTACCTAGGAAAGCGTCTTTTCAGAATGGGCTTACTTGACTTACTTTCTTGGTGGATTTAGAAGAGATAGCCGTGTTAGTCTGTGCTAGCGTATCAGGCAAAAACAAAATAAAAATAAAGAACAACAATGACAAAAACTTTGCAGCACCTTAAAGACTAATGCCTATACTGCATTTTAATGTGAGCTTTCATTGACATGTCTAAGGAAGTGGACTTTGTCCACAAAAGCTTACATTAAAATATAGAAGTTACTCTAGTTAGGAAGGTGCTGCAATGTTTTCGTCTTCTTTATTTTTTTATTTGCGTTGCTTGGTGGATTTTTAGCATTTCTCCGTATGCAACAAATAAATAAATAATTTAAAATGTTTAGCACTGTTGCTATGAGATACCTGTTAGCTGTGTCATACTGGAGTTGAATGGAAGAAGAGTTTCTTAGGAGGGGTAAGTTTTGAGCAGACAAATGGCAGATGGGAAGTGGGTTAAGTAAATTGCTCCTACATCCCATTCCTCCACTCAGACTGGTTTATTACCCAGCTGTTTTTCATTTGAAGAAAAGAGAGAGAGACACTGTTCACACTACACATCACCAGTGTAAGTCTAGTTTGGCCCTGAGCCAGGTGCTTTTAAAGTCACATGAACATGCTTTCCATAGCAGCAAGATGCTTCTTAGAATTTTAGTCAGCCAAGAACTTGCACTTCATTACTAGACTATTTAAAAAGCCTGAATGTGGAGCCTAAATAAATTTAGCTGCTTTCCTCTTGGAATTTCATTTCTTTCCTTCAGGCTAAACTGCAAAGAATTGGGGAACTACGAGCTATGCATTCAGAATGGTTGAGGTGGGTTTTTCAGAATAGCTTGCTCTCTATCCTCTCGCTCTGTGTGTTTTTTTTTTTATTACCATGAGGTATCTGCCTGTGACCTCCATTTCTGAGCTTCCCATTTGACAGAAGGTCTTCTGCTTTGTTTCTTTCTAGACACACATAGAGCTTCCTCCCTGAACAGGTCTCTCTCCTTCCCATCAAACCCTCCTAGAAATCTACCTTTCTGCCCGGCTTTTGGGTTCATCTCTTTATCTTCCTTCCTGGTTGTCTACTTGAGTTCCTCCAGTTGAGACAGAAAAGCAGAATAGAAATGATTTGTTACCTTATACAAGAAGCAAAATGTAGTCATGTTTTGTCCATATTTTCCCCATAATACTCCTTGCCTACCTCCTTTTGTTGTTTTCCCTAATGTGTGCCTTTGATTATAAAGACTTGGGGAGAGGGCTAACTAAGACAATCTTAGAATCATAGAAAAGTGAAGTTGGAAGGGGCCTAGAAGGCTATCAATTCCAGCCCCTGCTCAACACAGAAATACAATCAAAGCATATCTGCCACGTGATTATCCAAGTTTTTCTGAGGTGCATTACTTTGCACTTGTCCCTGTTGAATTTCATTTTGTTGCTTCTGGCCCAGTGCTCCGTCCTATCAAGGTCATTTTGAATTTTGTTTCTGTCTTCTAGGGGATTAGCCATTCCACCCAATTTGGTATCATCTGCAAATTTGACAAGCATTCCCTGAACTCCCTCATCCAAGTCCTTAATAAAAATATTGAAGATCACTGGGCCCAGGACTGAGCCTTGGGGTACCCCACTAGTTACCTCCTCCCAGTTAGAGAGGGTCCCGTTAATTATCACCCTCCTGAGTACGATTCTGTAGCCAATTGTGTATCCACCTGACACTTGATTTGTCCAGCCTGCACCTAGTTAGCTTGCTAATCAGGATATCATGGGGCACTTTGTCAAAGGCTTTGCTGAAGTCAAGGTATACTACGTATACAGCAGTGGTACCCACCTTGGGCCTCCAGATGTTATTGGACTACAACTCCCAGAAGCCTACACCACCACCTCTTCTGGCCAGGATTTCTGGGAGTTGAAGTCCAAGAACATCTGGAGGCCCAAGGTTGAGGACCACTGGTCTACAGCATTCCCTCTGTCTATCAGGGAGGTGACCTGATCAAAATACGAGATCAAGACAATGGTTCCCAACTTTCGGTCTCCAGTTGTTCTTGGACTATAACTCCCATAAATCCTGGCCAACATAGCTAGTGGTGAAAGCTTCTGGGAGTTTTAATGCAAAAGCATCTCAGGACACAAGGTTGGGAACCTGTGAAGTAAGCGGTGGTCCTGGCATTAAGCAGAGTCCCATGACTATGTCAAGATGTTGGTTTTGGGTGCCAACGCATGGTTTATTGTGTAATGCCTAAACTTGATGGTGGTGTGAGTTGTGTACAATATGTTATGCCTTGAGTGTCAGAATGACTTGACTGGTCTTGGATATTATGCTCCTTAGAGACTGGTGCCATATACTCTATTTTAGGCAGCAAAATACCTTAGGCTGGCTATGGTAGATGTTCATCTATCTGTTTTGCCTATGCAACTTAATGTAACAGCATACCTGTTGGTGGTGCTGTTATTATAGTAAATAATAGTAATGACTGTGGGTGATTTCCTTTTTAAGTCTGTATTCAATAAATCATTATTTTTATTTTAAAATCCATACATAGTCTGAGGTGTCAGATTTATGTGTGGTTGGTGGCAGCGAAGTACTGTGTGTGTGTGTGTGAGAAGGATCGTGGCCTGTCATCTCTAGTGGTGACGTAGGTGGAGGTGGCAGTCGCGACAATGACTGTGGCCTGAGATGCAGTTTGGTTTTTCCTGGCTGAAATGTAGTCACCAGATAATGATTTGCTTGTATTCATTCTATTGACATCAATGTACAGTCTTCTCCTTTACTGGCAGTTAAGTGCAGCCATCTGGTTTTGAATCAGTCTCAGCACATAGTAATTGCTTTCAGAGATCCCCCTCTCCCCCTTGGAAACTCAGCAAGCATCAAGTTGCTGTCGCTGCTGTGCTGTCTTCTACTTGGCAGAGCTCTAATTATGGAGGCTGTTTTGGGGGGATTGATTTGCCAGGAGAGTTAATTAAGCATCATTAGATATACAGCCCATGCCAGTCACTCACAGAGCCTTGTGAACGTCATCCTGTTCTTTCTGCCTCACGGAGGACCAGCAGTGCATTTTCCAAAGTTGCTGGTAGCTGAAAGTACTTTTCTAACGAGTATATGGTTGCTTGGCAACTTGAAATTAAGCCTTGGTTGCCTGCTCTGATCTGTTACCATTTTAACTATAGCAACCAAGCTATGTGGGCAAAATAAACATGGATTCATTCTAGTATGTTGATTTCCTTCCTTGCTGGAAGATAGTTGCAGTAGCTGGGCTGTAAAAAGTATTTGTCAGGTTGCTGGCAAAGCATGTTAGGTTATAAAACCTGGACATTTGTCAGTAATCCATGTTTCAGAGAGGGATTTTCTATTGAAGGGTAAAGCTTTGACTATAGATGAATCCAATGTAAGGAAAGAGGAAACATGGGGATATTCCAAGTAATTGAATAGCATGTAGGAGAGGTATGTATACTTGCTGTTGACATTCAGACAAGGAGATTTTATACTAAAGATTGTAAAGCACTGGATATGCTAATGAAGTAAACAGGCAAAACAGCCTTATTCTTTATACTGTTGGGGTATTGTTCAAACAGGGAAATACTGGCCTAATATTTGCTGCGCTAGTGAACCATGCAGATAATTGCCAGTGCAGGCACTGTGCTTCGTTATCCCAGGTGGATGAGGTGACCCAGGGTGTAATTGGGATCATTCTGGGCTGCCTTGTGTAACTGTTGTTTCAGACCTGGTTCCCAAAATACAGTACATGTTCTAAGGCAAGATAAAGATATGTCGTTGGTTTCCACAAACATCTGGGACAGTTGGACTGGGTTGAATGCACATCATCCTTGCTGGATTGGTTTCTGATCCACAAGTTGCCCTTCTTATTTTCAGACTCTAATGAGTTTTTGAGTGTCTAGGTGCTGTTCACATGGCATATCATCATCATTACTCTTCTTTGGTGTGCTCATAGACATGGATTTTACCCATGCCTGTAAGTAACACAGAAGAAGAAGAGTAGGGATCGGGGGTGACTACTTGCTAGAATCCTACTGTTTACTTATGCTAAACTACACTAGAATAGGCTAACTGAATCAATGGGGATTTGGTAAATCAGCACCTCTGTAAGTTCCATTGATTTGAATGGACCTACTCTAACTTTAGCATAGTAAGTTGTAACTAGAAGGGCCCATTTGAATCAATGGAATTTATGGAGGAGTTGGTTAACCCAACAAATTCCTACAGATTCAGTGGGCCTAATGTTGTTCAATGTACTATGCAGCAAACTAGAAGCCAACACGGATTTGTCAAGAACAAATCCTACCAAACTAATTTGATCTCATTTTTTGATCAAGTCACCTCCCTGATAGACAGAGGGAATGCTGTAGATGTAGTATATCTTGACTTCAACAAAGCTTTTGACAAATAGCAAGTTAACTAGGTGTGGGCTGGATAGATCAATTGGGCGGAATAGCTAATCCCCTGGAAGACAGAAACAAAATTCAAAATGACCTTGATGGGATGGAGCACTGGGCCAGAAGCAACAGAATGAAATTCAACAGGGATAAGTGCAAAGTACTGCACCTCGGAAAAAAGAAACCAATTGCATAATTACAAGATGGGTGATACCTGGCTCAGCAAAACAACAAACAAGAAGGATCTGTGAATTGTAGTAAATCACTAGCTAAATATGAGCCAACAGTGTGATGTGGCTACAAAAAAGGCTAATGCTATTTTAGGCTGCATTAATAAAAGTATAGTTTCCAAATCC